GCTTTCACCGTTTAAAAATACCGCATTTATAATGAGGCGCGACCCCAGTCAGCAGGTAACAAAACTTCGTCACTTTGACAGAAGCTCAACAAAACGACTCTTTGAGGAACCGCTGGTTTCGGTGTGTGCGCGCGTGCGTGTCCCTGAGGGGAAACCGCCCCGCTCTTTCCCGTCAAGATATCAGCGCGCGCTTCCTCCGATAGTTCGTTGAAACAAATTCTACGAATTCTTCTCGCGGGATTTGAATATTCATGAAGGCGCGACTTGAATGTAGCCGGTTCAAAACATTGAGCACACGGCTCCGCTGATTGACACGGCTGATTGGACAGTGAGGGCGTAGTGGGCGGGGCTGCGTTAGATCGCTTTAAATAAGGAACAAAACACTGTAGTAGAGCAGCGAAGGCGGTCAACAGAGACGGAGCGGGTTACCAGGGTTTTGACTCTTCTGTGAACGCGTTTCCACCGCATTAACCAGGAGTAAATATATTTAAAGGACTTTTTCTTTGACTTTTCTGGGATTTTAAAACCATAACGCTTTAATCGGTTAAAGACGGAAAATCATCATTAAAAATCTGAAGAGCTATTCCGCCCCCAGAAGAATGGACTTTTATTAACTTCAACTAGACGGAACACTTTATAAAATGCTGGATAAGAGAGCCATGGAGTTCGACTTGGAGGAAGAAGTCCGAGGAAAGAACGGTGAGAACTACAAGAAAGGTTATATGTGTGATTAAACATGTCAAATAAGGACGTGTAAACTGGTTTAATTTGCCTCCAAAACGCAGTAGCTGCTTTTGCACGCTGCAGCCAGACTGCATGTAAAAAAACAGCGATTTTAACAGCCCGCTCAGGGGCTGTGAAACGTTTAAAAAACGCTGAAATTTAAAAAGGGAAACCGTTAAAGGTGGCGCCTTTAAAATATTATATATTAAGTCCCGCTGGATTTGTTGGAGTGCATTGGTCCGACATTATAAACGATTATTTCGGTTATTTTAGTTTGAGAAACTGGAATATCAGACAGATATCCGAGTTGTAAATTAAAAATAATTGTGCGCAGTGACGTTTTTTGTGTACAACGGTAGAAATCTTAAGGTATTTTGAGTTTCTGTTGTCTTGTTGGGGGATGTACGGTCTGTAAGTGTGAGCCATGCACTGATGTGACCCTTGTGTTTTGGCCCTCAGTGAAGGAGCCCTTCCTCAGTCAGTATCGCTGCGGTCCTCTCCTCGGCAGCGGAGGTTTCGGCTCCGTGTTTTCAGGCCAGAGGCTCTCCGATGGACTACAGGTAAATAATACCCGCCTGTGTTTGTTCATTATAAGAGATGCGCCTTTTCTCCGTTATTATTGCTCGAGAATTCGGTTTTTATTTAATATTTTACTCCTTTTTTGTCCATCCAGGTTGCCATTAAGCAAATTGCCGTTGACAGAGTTCAAAAGTGGACCAGACTGGTGAGTGATAATTTATTTTTAAACTAAATGTGGACCAAAACGCACGAGGTGTTTTGAGTGACGCCTGTAAACAAAGCTCAGATTGTTTAGCTCCGCCCTCTACCGGTGGCTCAGGTGAACTGCAGCTGTGGGCGGTGGTTGGGAAATGTGTAACGTCACGGTTTGGTAAATGACACCTCAGGATTTCCCCACTATCACCACCACCTCTTTATTCATTATTATTCATTGCGAATTCATTTGGGTTTCCCCACCAAGGCAAAAAACACCTGAAGCCACCTGCAGGCGAGGATTCAGGGCACAAAAACACCAGGCTGGAGTTTCTGATTTTAAAACCCAAACGTGTGACTCAGAAAGTCCTGAAAACAGAGTCAGTTAATTTGCATACTAGTATCAGTCACTGTGATTTCCGCTATGACCCATTTAAAAACTAGAAATTAAAAAACAAAAATTAGGACATGATCTACTTCTACTACTACAGATTATTTCTTTATAATTTATCAATCTTCCTCTTTCCTCCCACCAGCCAGATGAGGTCAATCCTGTTCCGATGGAGATTGCTCTGCTGCAGCAGCTGTCAGAGGACGGGGGCCACCCTGGGGTCATCCGCATGCTGGACTGGTTCGAGGTGGAGGGGCGGGGCTTCCTGCTGGTGATGGAGAGGCCGCCGCACTGCCAGGATTTGTTCGACTTCATCACGGAGAGAGGAGCGCTGTCAGAAAGCCTCGCACTCAGGTTTGCGCTCCCGTCCGCCACCTTTGAATGATGCTACTGCGTTCTGCTGAGGTCACTGACATTTTCGCTAACGTCCTGGTTCTTTGTTCTTCCCGATAGGATTTTCCATCAGGTGGTCGAAGCGCTTCGATTCATTCACTCCCACAGCGTCGTGCACCTGGACATCAAAGACGAGAACATAGTGATAGACACGAGAACGATGGATATCAAGATCATAGACTTCGGGTCGGGGGCGGTGCTTAAGGACACGCCGTACAGAGAGTTTCAAGGTACCCAGTCACTCTACACCCATAGCTTCTTCTCA